TGTTACCCAAATAATAATCTCGATCATTTGGACTAATTATTGATTTTTCCAATGTTGTACTTGCGGGAAGTAATCCACTCCCAGGACATACTATATAACATAAAAATGAAAATAATTTTAAGACAAATTAGACAGCGAGATTTTAGCGAGATTATAAGGTGGAAAATGACCTGGCGAAGATTTAAGATAAAGCAAATCAATAAATTTCCCAGATGATCTGATATCTCTGAAGGGGTCCCTGTTGGCGGCTATTGTGCATGTTTATATTTCAGTCTTTTTGGAACTCGACAGAAACAGATTCCTCGTTTCTTATTTCTCGTTCCCGGAGAGGAACGCCACTACCACACCCGTTTGTACCATAGCTTAAAATCTTTTTATGATTTTTCAGTTTTTTTAAACATTTTCCTACAATAATCCCTGATCACTCTAGCAAAGATGTGCTTCTCTCCTCTTCACTTTTGCTAAATGAGAGGCTTTCACCCATCTAAAAACCAAGTTTTTTGTTACAAAGCAACTACTTTGCATGAAAGGATTACTTGCCTTTGTCCTTAGAAATTGAATTGTAGGTTCCCTTAAATCCTTTACTCCCGCGCCACGACTTAGATTTAAACACGACAAATAACCGGTTAGTACGTGAAACCAAATCGATATTTTTGGCTTTTGAACACTGAGAAAAGTTTTCAACTATTTTATTCGCAAATTCATTGTCACCATCATAAATGTCAATATAATCCCTAGCCAATTCTGGAGTGGTGCATTTCGGGAACGAAACAGAACCTATGGTCAGTCTTATCACGTAATTATCAGGTGCTTTAAGTTTCCAGGAACACTCCATATTTCCTGGATAGTCTTGCGGAAAACCATAAGTCTCAATTTCTCCTTCGTTTTCTGCAGATTCTGGTGGACAAACTAGAAAGCAAGGGAATACGAAGCAATTTTTACATGTTTCCTTATATATTTACAGTCTCTTGATCATAGTGATTTATTTTAATTTTCCTTGAAAAATAATTATTGTTGAACAAAGAAACAAAGAAAGGCAACCAACCACTACCTGCTTAATTGTATTAAAGTTATATTTAAAATTATATAAATCAATTAAAATGTTAGCCTACATATAAAACAAATTAATTAATTAAAAATATACTATCAAACATACGATTAACGACCCTGATTATTTCATATTTCACTTCCAGCCCATCAGTTTTGGCAAACTGATTTGTCTTAAACGTGATGAGCACGTGATTTGCGCTTGACATCAGATCTGGTTTTCCCTTGGTCCATTCCCCCAGCTTTGTACTAGATATTGTTAAACCATCAAATATCTGCAAATCGCCACATGCTTCACAACCGCCGAAATCAAGAGTTTTGACTGTTACACGAATAGCGTAGTCTGCGTCCACCGTTATTGGCCAGAAACAATGCATAATATCCTTTGCGATATATTTTGACTTGTAATCATAACTTTTTAGAGTTCCATTAAAGTTCTGTGATGCTGGGACATTGGAACAAACTAAAACATGACCAATAATATTAGATAAACAAAGGTGCTACGATTGAGCGAGAAGGCTTTTTAAACGTCATTCTTTAATAAAATATTTACATTGTTTTCTTTTCTGGATAGATGTTTTTGCGTGAGACAAAGTGTTTCGAAAGTAACACTGTTGAACAGTGCATGTTGTAGGACTTGTTATGAAAACATTGATACATCATTTATACAGGCTCATGAGTCATGACATTAGATGTGAATCTTGCATTCACCTCATTTATTATCAAATAGTATATTATTTTTCATTACTGAGATTGAACTTTGTATTCGCCAACGTAAACCACGATCAAATCCCGCCCTTTTATCAGCAAAATCGAAGCACGGCCCCCACACACACACACTTTAGAGAGTTTAGGATTCACAACGTGGCTAGAGAAGACGCGTTAGAAAGGCTTGGTAACTAGCGCGCCAAGGCGTCTTGTTAATTTAGTTTATTTTAATCCAACGCGTAGTCGACTATTCTGCGACGGAATTTTGTCAATTTCACGTTGTGATCACTACGCTGCGGATTTCATGTGAGTATCCAATACTTTTACATTGAAAACGTGATTTAAGTTCTTAAGTTTTTATTTTTGATGAAGTAGTACCTTTGATTACATTTTCAGTGGCATTTAAACAAAAAATTACAAAGATTTTGAAAAACTTATAATTTTCCCGCCAGTAAAGTTTTCCTAGTAAAGTTTAAACTCTTTAGTGTATTCGAGCTATGCCCCTGCTGATAGAAACTAAACTATCCTTAATTTAGACGAAAGAACGATCTCAAAATGTCCCAAGGTCGGAGTGGAAATGACATTGATGTATGCTATATAATTACCTTTGTTTTCTTTAAGCGTTTTATACGTCGCTTCAAAGTCATGTTTCAAAGAGGGTGGTGCCACAATCAATTTAATAAACAAGAAACGACCGTCGGAGAGCAAATAAGATGGAACCTCGGAAAGTCTACACCATGTCCCAAGCTTTAAATCTGATGAAGACTCTCCGTCATATACTTCTAAACTTCCACAACTACAGTGTGAACATGTGGATTGAAAACTTAGATTTAATATCTCTAATGCAACTGTACTCTCTGGGGTTGCATCCAGGCGCCATTCACAAATTATGTTTCCGTATGCTGGATATTTAATACTTATTGTTGACTCGGTTCTGGGACACACTGAAAAAGAAGAAGTAAGTCCTGTAATTGTAGGCTTTTGAAATATCGAAGTTAAATTAATAAACTGCATAAATGATTATTGCTGCCGAAGGCAGCACTCCTAATCTTGACATGAAGGTTTCGCCAGAGTTCACTCGACCCAGTCTTTCGCAACGATCTATGTATTGTCGAGATCTCGATCTTGTGTCTGTTAAGATGTCGTAAATTCCGGGGAACGGCGGGGGCGAGAAAAATATTAAATATTTAAATTGCGCGTGCACATATTTATATGGCTATATGCAAACTTATTCTGGATCTGACTTGATGCAAAAAATACGACCATTTCCCGAAGAAACCAGGTAAGTATGGCTTTATTTTTTTGTGCTAATATCCATCAAGGCCATGAACTGTTTAGCGTTCATTGTGGAGGCAAGCAATGTGCTTTTATGTCACGAGTCTACGGCGCTTCTTACAGCCCGAAATATTCCCATTGTGACATAATGACATTGTCTGCATGGTCGTTTAGAACATTTGATAATGTCTTATAAATACACGGAGACAAGATGTACTTAAGAGCTCTGAAGTATTTAATGAATTTACCGGCAGTGTAGAATAGCCCACCAGATCTATTCGTCAATAATGCCTTATTTACGAGTCAGTGAGTCACATGTACTCATGCAGTTTTAATATTTGTTTGTTATGTGCCAAGACGATGAGTATAGTGTTCATTTCTAGATGTTTATAGTTTAACAACAAACGCAGAATGTTGTTAAATCAGGCTTACTGTGATAAGATCCCTAGAGCAACCCTGTGTGGATTGTTCTCTGCACATATTGACTTTATACCAGCAATATGATTAATGCTGATTTTTGTACAAGATATGACTGTGTGTTTATTGTTAGCATAATATGAAATAATCCTACTACAGGCGGCCCAATCTCTGAACGTCCTATATATTTTGAATATTTAACCGTTATAATATTTTAAAATAACAAAATAATTCAAAAAATATTAACAATATATGTAAAAAATATATCTCACTTGTTAATAGAATCCATTTGTTGTGTTTCTGAGTCTAGTTGATGCGATTGCTTTACGTTTTCGTCGTACTTGAACGGTCGTCAGTATTGGCACTGAACGACATGGCCATACTAGGACATAAACTAGAAGTTACTATCGCAAGGAAAATGCTGCCTCACCCCCAAGCGATGAAGGCAGCATGAGCAATTTGCTGAATAAGGGCCCTGTTTATATGATCCCACCAGGACGAGATATGAGGCAGGATGATTTCGATATACTGAAATAAGTCACGGTGCATGATTCAGCAACCCTAAAACGCCTGTTCAGGAGGTATGAAAAGTGCAATTTGAATATCAAACACCTTGCACAAAGACGAAGGTCGGCTAAATGTTCTAATTCTACTTTCTTTGCATGGGCCATGGGCGGTTTTATATGAATATCTTCAATGCTTATAACTTCTTGCTTTTGTATGTATAATCATAATACTGTCAGTGGTGAAGCTGGCCATAGCAACAGGTCATGCTATGCAAGTTTTTAATGATTTAAATTGTTCAAATAGATGCAGGTTTATTAGCATAGCATGGTCAGTTGCCACGGCTTGCTTACCACTGAATACTGTACAATGTTTGTATAAAGATACTAAAGCCAGTTTTCCACTTCGTCTTAACGTATCGTAGCATTTGCTTTTGTGTTCATATTATGTTAACAATTGATGGACATATCTCAGAGGCCTCAAAGATATATAATATATATATAAACAGACAGTCATGTCTTATACCTGTACAAAAATCATGTTGGAAACAGACTATAAATAGGTTAGGAATAAACACTAGATATGAACGCCATATAAGGACATAATTACTGTATGATTGACATTTAGCAAAAACAACAGAGTACATTGCGAGCGAGAGAGAAATAGGTGTGTAAACATAATACAACATACGAAATAAAATCAAATAATTTGGCGATTAAAAACACAGTGAATTGTCGTGAAGGACGGCCCTTTTAGTAGAGCATTCCGACAGTCAGTTGACATACTATTACATGTATTAAATTGCTAGCTGGTGTTATATTATAAAAGTCAATATGTGCAGACCGTGCTGCAGACAACAATCCACATTGGGTTGCTCTAGGAATCTTATTACAGTAAGCCTGATTTTCAAACTATAAACATCTACAAACTGAACACTATATATACTCATGGTTTTGACTGGCTTGCACATATCAATAAACTCATAAAAAGCACATCTCTTGCCTCTAGAATTTTCGAACGCTAAACAGTTCATCGCCTTGATGGCTATTAACACAAATGAATAAAGCCATAGTTACCTGGTTTCTTCGGGAAGTGTTCGTATATTTTGCATCAAGTCAGATCCAGAATAAAAAGCTTGCAAATTTAAAGTGTATATGAAATGAAAATTTCGATATCGGGTTTTTTGCATTTTCTGAAAATTTGGTCTTTTCCGATCATAAAAATACAAACCTTGTTGAAAAATTCGAACCAGAAGTTTGTTAATTTTACGATTAAAGTTCGCTTTTTCGACTATCTACTGGCGAAATTCCTGACATTCCATCGCGCGGCCAGTGACGTATGCAGTATGACACAGTGCGACCTTTCGATATGTAAACACTATGAAAATTATAGCTTCGTCTGGGTAGAATTGGGTTTTTGAGAGATTTTGAAGAAAATTGAAACGAATCCACTTTCTGTAGACTTCGCTTTCAATCTATAGATACAATATAATTACAACATGACGAGTTGTAGCGTATAAGCGGCCGAAAATTAAAATGCAAATTTCATGAGACAAGAGACTATATCTACGTTGTAGGTTTCAGACCGCATATTATGTAGATAGGCTTTGGCTATAGCTGATATTAATTATGGCAAACATTGTAGTAACTAGTGTAAGCATAACATGGAAATTAATACTAAATATCTACATTTACTGACATACCATAGCATGAGTATGGACCATTCCAAAACTAACAAATTTTGAATTGCATATATATACATATATATAGCATGGTAAAATACGATAGGGTAAAAGGAATTTACTTAATATAGCTGCTTCTAATGATGGGCTCTACTTCATTATATTCTTTCACTCACAACCGTTCGTTAAGTTCACATTGAAAATCTATTACATGTAGTTGCGTGTTTTTGTACACGAAATAGACCAGAATTTGAGCCTCTAGAAAACCTCGGCAAGAACGCGTGCATGTTTTGCGCGACAGGCTGATAGCGCGTCTACCGACGTGACGAAACTCACACCAGCACTCGCACGCAATCTTGTTTGCATCTGTACTATATCTACTATAACCCTATAATTTTTTTGCTGTGCAGTCAGTTTTTATGCATTTACTATGCATGCTGGAAGTGGTCTGCAATTCTCCCATCCCAGCATGCCAAATATCATCTGACTATCCAACGATATGCTACTGCTCGAAGATATCTAAATAATCAAACAGTGAGTCGTTAATTTCATGTTTGCAAATACTAAAGAAGTTACTTATGTATATGGTCGGAATATGTATAAGATTTGCCTACCAAAACCCAAGGCTAAGTCAAGTCACTGTTATTACCCATTAGTATACTAATATAGCTATACATATAAAAAGATAAATTATAGACATACTGTATAACAAAGAATACAAGATATCGTTTAGAATACAAATATATACAAGAAATAGTGATATTTAATTATCTTGGGTTCTGCTTGTTGGTTTATGATACCTTTTCCCTGACTTTATATCAGAGAAAAGCCCCTGCGCGTCTCTAGTAGGCTACTGTTCGATGGGTGACGACTATTATCATATTACAACATATAGGCTAACATAACACTTGCAGAACTAGTATGGTTCGATGCTGAATTAATATAAACGAGTATGTTTATGACATTCAGTATATAGTTCATAATTTCCAGTCTTAATATAAATCCGTCTGACCGTGTAGCTCAGTTGGTAGAGCGTCGATCATTAGTAATTCGAAGGTCGCGGGTTCAAGACCCAGCCGCGGCAGACAATATCTTTCTGCTTGGGCAGTTGCGCTGGGTATGGAAATTATGAAATACACACTCGAGAACATTTTCAACTTTTCAACTTAGTGCATAATCCCAGTGCTGTGTGATGCATTCTGCGTCCTTGTCCTCGAACGTAAATTTGTCAATGCACTCCAAAATTTCCTTACAGCATCTATATTCTCTAGCGTCCTGCAATAATTCGTCGCTACAATGTCCACATGAGCACCTTAAAATAAACTCGCATATCAGACGAAACAGGGTAATAAATAGTCGAGGAACGGGTTAATATAATATTACTTTTATAACTTTACTTACCATGAATTAACAGCTACATTTTTCTTAAATCTCGCCTCAAGAGTATCATGAAGAATGCCGTCTTCGTCCGTTTGGTCTTCCTCGTAGTCACTATATGCGACTAGCTCAAATTGATATGGCTGAACAACAGACGATTGCTCAGCGATGTCCTCATTATCTGTTGACCCTTCTGTCTCTGTCTGTGATTCAAAGCTTTCGTTATTGGACATTTTTATAGCGAAATATAAAGGCAACTGTCTGATGTTCGGGTTATTTTGTTGTTTTCGCATAGTGAAACACTTCGGCGTGTCATACTGCATACGTCACAAGGCCCGGAACTCTAGGTACCAGTCTTTCGCCAGTAGATAGTCGAAAAAGCGAACTTTAATCGTAAAATTAACAAACTTCTGGTTCGAATTTTTCAACAAGGTTTGTATTTTTATGATCGCAAAAGACCAAATTTTCAGAAAATGCAAAAAACCCGATATCGAAATTTTCATTTCATATACACTTTAATATGTGCACGCAATTCAATATTT